CTACATCTACACACATATGTAGCTGCGTGCACATTAACATAACTGTATATTTATGCGATTTTAATGTGGCGTGAAGACAAGGGCGACGCCGCATAACTGCTTACGCTCAGAAGTATCTTCATTAAATCAATAGAAACCTTGTAGCATGAAGCATTCCACCCTTTAGTCAACCTCTCAAGTGCCAGCACACAATATACAAGTATAGGTACATTTGTATGTAAGTAGCTATGTATGTGTCTGTGTATTTATGACTTTATTTGTTTATTTGTTTGGCGCGTGTGTGTTTGTTGGCTCTGTAACGCACTTTACCGACGGGTTGTCACCAAACGGGCCATTGTGTTTGTTGTAATAATTATTATATGCATTTTTTATTTCCACACTTTTTTACGTTAAATATTTTTCACTGCGAGTTAATTGCCGTTATCCTGCTGTTATCCTAGTGTGAGTGCATCTGCTGAAAAGTTTGACACGCAATAAAAGTGTTGATTGTTTCGATATTAAAAATGTTTTGTTTTTGTTGTTGTTGGTTCCTGTAGAATTGCTTATTTTGCCAAGCCTTCTCCAGCTGGTGGGGACGCGCATAAATATGTGAATGCGCGCTTAGCCCTCGGGACGAGTACAGTCGAGCAGCGGAAACGGCAGCGCGCAAAGAGGGTGGCTTGCCAGGCCACCCGTGCGATGTCGCATTGTGCCACAAAAATAAAAAAAAAAAAAACAAAAACGTACAATGTGCATTTATAATATTCATAGCGTGAATATTTTATTTTAGAGCAGCTATCAAAATTTTATTTTCTGCTTTGCGTCACATTTCAACCATCAATTCACCACAGAGCGCGCCGTGTGATTTGTGGAACTCAGTTGTTTTTTGCGCAATAAAATTGACGCTGAAAACTTGAATAATAGTAGGTACAAATGTGCCTATGAGTGTATTGTTCAAAATTACTTATTTTAGCTTTAAAAGGACAATATGGTTGACTCATAACTGCATTTCTTTAGGGATTTTTGAGGTCACGATTTCTCTTGAACGCATATAGAAGGTATAATAAAAAACAAATACGTTTGTGTGGGTAAAAAAAACTAATTTTTTTTGTCGCTTGGTATGCTCAAAGATTGATTTTGTAACAGATGTGTTAGCTGCAAAACGGAAGGTTGCTAAAAGGTTCTAAAATGGAGTTGGAATTATTAAAGGTTATCATAGTTTCGACTTTACGTCTTTAATATACACAAACTGCTTTTATAAGTTTCAGTATTTCTTTGACTTTTATGTTCATTTCCTCTTAATGTAAATTAAGGGCATTCTCTTACAAAATGTTTCTACCTCTCTTTCTTTCTCTTAATTCCAGAATGTCAAGCGTATGTTTGAGTGTTCATGATTATATTCTGCATTTTATAACGGTATCAAAAACAAACCTCTTTGGTTTCGGGTTTATCCGCCTTAACCCGAGACGCAACGAGTCGCGAGCGTCGGTTAAGATAGCCATCTTGGCGACTTTATAAATTCATCTTCTTCTTTTCTACAAACATGAGCCAGTTTTCTAAAGGCCTAAGCTAATTATCTTATTTAACAAACTGCCGTTGTTTGCCTCACAAGAAGGTTATTTGGAGCTCGCAGCGCAAAACATAATCTTCAATGGCTACTTCACAAATAAATTCATGGATCTTAATCTAAAGAGTTCTCTCAAATGATAATATCGCCATATATGGTATAAGTCGCTGCTTTTGCACACGGACTTTCTCTTGAAGACTCTCAAAGACGTTTCATATCAAGTTCTTATCATCCTTATTTATACATCAAATATCAAATCCTGCATGACGGGAAACAGCTTGTCTTGTTGGGAAAACTCTTTTTCTAAATTGTCAACTGTATTCGAAGTAACTTTAGCTTGAAAGAACGTTTCTATAAAATCTAACACTGACATTGTGTTTGGTAAGCTCATTCATAGGCTATCGGAGTTCGTGCTCGCGATCATTTTATACTACACAAACGTACAAGATCCAAGTCCCCATAAGGTTCTTAGGCTGATAAACAACCATCTTATACACTATTTTAAATAATTTTGGAGAAGTTTGAATCTGAATGCCGGTTACGTAAGCCCGACCGCCGTGGGACTAGAATACCTCTACATTTTTAAGATCCAATCAGTATGAGACTTCAAAATTTCCTACAAAAAGCTCTAAATGAACTTATACAAAATACAAAAAAAGTGCAGCCAAAAGTTGAGGCGAACTGTAGGAATGTTATGTTCGAACAAGTCCACACCTACTTCTCTGCACCCTTGAACCGTCTTCTGAGCCTGGCTATATTAATTCTATAATATTGCTGTTTCATAAAATATTAACTGTGAACTAATTGCAGCCTACTCTTGGATAACTTCTCACAAACTGTCGTAAGCTAACGTCGCAGCAATTTTATGAATTTCTTGCAACATACTAAGTAAAGAGCGAACAATTTTACAATTTTTTACACTTAGAAAAACTGCTCTTTGACGAACTACTGCTTGACGCCCTCAAGATTTAACACTAGCTTTATGGCTGCTCATGCTCGCACAGCAGTTACAGACAGTTAAAGTTATACATACTCACCCACACACGCACACACACACACTGATTTGCATATGTAAATGTGTTTGGCACATAAAAATGTATTTCATTGAGTCGAAATCATCGCCATTTGCACCAGTCAACTAGCACTTAAAAGAGTGTTAAACAGTCGTGTACTAATAACAACAACGGCAGCTACAACAACAATGACATCAGTAGAAAAATATGCGAAAACAACTTATTTCAACCCTTTAACCTCATGTTTTTACATTTTACGATCACAATTTACGACTTTACGATTTTGCGTCTGTCAATAAAAATGACTTTTTCACACACGCACGCACATGCGCAAATACTTATATATATATATATGTATATACATAGGGTATGTAGATAGAAACATGTAAATTTTTGCAGCATTTCAACAATTTTACTGTTGGTTGCGCTGTTTCATCTTCATTTCTGCCTCGGCTAGTGTTGTTTGTAAGTGCATACAAATGTGTTTGTGTGTATGTGCTTTTGTGAATATATATATATATATATATATATACATATATGTGTGTATATGTGTTTGTACGTTTGATGTGACTTTTTGCATGAATGAAATTATGTTGCTTGGCGAAAGAATGCCATGAATGTCCAGCACCGATTTACTAGAAATGCCAAAAAGTGTAACAGGAACGACGAAATTCTTTGCCTTTGAAACTTTAAGAAACACTTTCTTTAACAGATTTTTTAAATTTTCCTTTAGACACTTTTTTGTGGGCTAAATATGTTTAGTTTTTACGTGTGCATATATGTGTGTAGGAGTTTTTACGGTGCTAAGCTTATTTCAACTTTATTTGCTTTTAACACAGTGCGCAATAAAATAATTTTTTCTCATCATTTTTTCACAGAATTAAAAATTTTTGACACAGAATTAAAAAAAAAAAACGTTAACTTCGACTGCAACGAAGCTATAACATCTTTCACAAATAAAAAAAGTTTTTCGGCGTCTGCAGCGTGCAAGCTTTAAAATTCTCACATTCAGTCATACTAAGCAGAGGCAAATTTTGATTGTGGTAGAGAATATTTGAGGGGTTCCTGTTGGTCATATAGTATAATACAGAGATTTTTTTTCGAAGTTTCGAAGATATAGCAGCACTAGCTTACTGTATTCCTAATTTCTGATATTTTGCTTTTGTTCATCGAGTATTTGCGACAGGTATAATAGTTTAAGTTAAAAAGGGAATGTAAATCTAAGAAAAACAATTCGAATGAATTCGACATGAATTCTTATCAATATCAAATATTGGGCTACAGCTTCTTGTGGTTCTTTTTTTTGTGTGACTGTTTCAGTTTTTCTGTTATATGACTTTGGGCGTGATTTTTGAGCTCAAGGCTTGTTCGCTAATCATCCTTTGAAATCCAAATAAATTTTTTTTATCACATTAGGTTTTAGGGTACCTTGGCGTACCACCAGGTTCATACATTTTCAGCTCCGAACGAGTGAACACATCAGTGCCGAGTAAATGGTTCGTAGTTTTGATTGTGTCACGGCGTGCTGGAAGTCAAAAATCATTAAGCCCTTTATTTTGACTTTCAGTTCATTCTTCGATTTACCATTTATGTATACGCTGCTGTTCTCTTGTTAAAAACCTTACATGTGAAAGCAACAACAAAATTATCGAGATATGATTTGTAGCAAGAGCGTATGCGGATATCTCATTAAAGGGATATAACTTCTGTTTTAATTGCTGCCAAGTTTTGTATTGCATATTTTATATCACTTTTGCTTTTGTAAATGGTTCATATGACAAATGAAAATTTCTTTTTTTTTCTTGTATTTTTAGAACATAAGATAAAATCAATTATAATAATTTACATATAAAAAGCATAAGTTTAATGGTTAGAGCAATGTTTTTTAACGCAAAAAAAAAAGAATTTTTTCACTAAGAAAGAATCATAACACTTTTGCGCATGCGTCAGAAGGCAGGTTAGCGTAGGCTTGCACCACAAGTGCTGCCCGTTTGTTTGAGCATCTAGTATAGTTTGTGCGATATGATGGAGAGTAACGCTTGGCGCATCGTAGACAGCTATTGTTGGGCGAAATATCGTTATACATACCTACATATATAGAGTGGTCGATGATTGAGTCAATTAACAATTTTTTATTATATTGAATAAATTAAGGACTTATCTGAAGCCTCTCAAGTATATATATTGAGCTCATAGGTCATAGATCATCTCGGCAAACAACTATTTAATACAAACAGACTCACAATGTGAGTAAAATTTTATTAATTTAATTTTTCCACTTGCAGTTAATGGTAACAGTCAACTGTGGTGTGCATTGGGTATATCAAGCGCCTTAAATTTACTTCTTTTTATGTCCTTAACCTTTTCTCCTTTCTTCTTCTCTGTCCAAATTAATAAAACATAAAATTATAAATGTTTTGCATTTTCTGCCAATTTTTCAGATTTTTGTGAACCTTGGTGCGGCACATTTAACGGTTGAACAATCGCAAGGATCGCCAGAAGGCACGACCTTGCTCGAAAATGTGAGCGTAAGCGTGACAGTTGAAATACCGAGCGTAAATGTTAACCTGAAAAGAGAAAAAATAAATACAAAAAAACAATACTTAAATAAGGGGAAAACAAGGTGGAGTGAGGACTCGCATGATAAAGCAAACAAGTAAATAATAAAAAACCAACAACAATAAACATTAATAGCGTGTATTTTAAGTGCTTGTAAGCGAACACACACACCAACAAACCAACAGCACTGCAGCGTCTGCATGCATATTTACCGCTGATTACAGCAAGGCAAACAGAAAAAATTACAAACCAAACGAAGGAAGGTGAAAGCAACAAGAAATTAAATAAATGCGAAACAACAACAACTACAATAAGTACTTACAAATATTTGGCACGAAAATAAAATGTTATGGCATTGCAGAGGTGCACGCATACAGCAAAAGCTCATTTAAAACAAATGTTGCTGCCAACAACAACAACAAGAATAACTGCTATAATAACAATAACAAATACAACTGTAAATGACATTAGTTCTTCCGGTAAGTGGTAGTGTCAGTAGTTGCTGTAATAGCGCCAAACAAAAACACGGAAAAGAGAATTCACGTAACATAAAACTAAAGTGTTGCCATACGCAGCCAAAAATAATAATAATAAGTACTTACATCTTGATGCCATTGTCACTGCTCCAACGCCGAATGTTTGAGACAGCAATTACACACAAACAAACGCTAGCGTGCGCTATTCCAACAGCAACGCCACAAAAACAAAACATATATAGGTGGCAACACTGTAATTAAGTGTAATACCAAGTTTTTGCTGTCACAAACAGCATGAAAACTATCCAATTACAAAAGGCAAGAATTCTAGACGCACTGCCGACATTCGGTCGCATCAAAAACTATTACACATTCTTGCCAATTACAACAGTAAAAACAACAATACCAACAACATATCAAGAGAACGTGCAAGCATTGCCAGTGCAACAAAAACGAAGCGATTAAAAGTAAAATTAAATTAAAAATAAATACAAAGTATTGTGTGTAAAGTAGCAACTAAAAAGTAAAACTACAACAACAAAGATAAAACTCAAAAGCTACGCAACACAAGAAATTCCGCTAAAAGTTATCCGGTGTTGCACATACATAAATGACGGATTGCAGACTTGTGCAACAAAATGGCAACCCCGCAAATTTCCCAAGTCATTATCAATCAAAAATTCCCATTTGTAAATGCTGTTGCGCAAATCCAATTAACAACAACAAAAACAACAAGTACAACTACAACAAACACAAAGCTATGTCGTCTTCAAGAGAGTCGTTGGGTGCGAAGAAAACATTGTTGCACTGGGTTGAAGAGCAAGCACAACAACAACAACAAGAGCAGCGGCAGTACTCGTCACTCGCTGCACTGGCTTCACCTTGGTTGGAGCGAACAATTGCTGCTGGTATGCATTCTACTCGCCAGCACGTGGGATCCAACGGGCTGCGACGAGTCACAGGACTTTCAGAAAGCGAGTGAGTCGAAATTTTCATATATTTGAACCACACATGTCTATTTGAATTCTTGAATGGAGGATTGATTAGTAATGCATATAAATGTTAGCGTTGTTTAGAGGTTCTAATTCCGTGACCAAAATTACCGCTTTAGTTAGTTTCTTTGAAAAGCCCATTTTTAGAGTAAATTTATTTTCTGCAAGCAATTTTTTGTCAAAAATATTTTTGTCAAATTTACTGAGAAAAATCAAGTTTAAATTTTAACTCTTTAAAAAATTGTCCATTTAATTAGATTATTTAATGAAAATATCTTAAAAAATTACGCCTAAAAGATTCAAAAATATATGTCGAAGGAAGAAATAACGATTAGTATTAGTAAATATTACGTATGCTTCCGAAACAAATTGATTATACATACTATACATAAACATATTATATAATCGTTTCAGTTATGTCGGAATCCACCTCTAAAATATATTTGGCAACATTTTTTTGACAGCTATATAGAGAAATTTTCGAAATTTTTAATTTTATGAAACTGAAAACTCCAACACGTGGCAACACTTCTCAATATAAATGGTTCATTTGCATGTTTCCTGGAACCACTTTTATGCCTCTAATTAATTTTGATTTTATACAATATATTATTTGCCTACGCGTTTTCAAGAAATCGACAGCTTCAACAAATTGAATATATTTAAAAATTTTTTGCATATAAATTTTTAAAAATGTGCCGACAGTGCTCAAGAATATCTCCAACAGCAATTTCGCTGATTTGAAAATTCATCTCAACAATTATTTTCACTGTATTTTTTCTAGATTTAACCCTTCCAGTTGAATGCCCTTATTGGAGTGTTTTCTAATCTTATATGAACATACATACAAATTAATTTAAATTTTCAAATTGCTGGCAACCTTTCTAAAGAATATCAACCAGAAATTGTGTTTCTACTTTATCTTTTTAATATACTATTATAGAAGTAAATGTAAACGGGTGGCAACACCCCTCAAAAATAAATTCAATTGCTTTTTATAACCTTTTTTGTTTGTTAGCGTTATTCTTGTTTTTTTTTTTTAATACTAATCTAAATTATTTTTTTACTTAAAAATTTTTTTTTTTTGTTTTTTGTGTAACTATCCAAAAAATCAATCATATCGGTGCAGACTGCAGATATTTCACCCAGAAAATAAATTGTATTATATGTCTGATGCCCTTTCTTTCTCATGGTTGAGTAAAGTCATACAATTCCTGATTTCCAAATAATATCATTGCATATGACATCTGACAAGTATGTTAAGTCTTAATTTGCACTAAGTGACTATTTCAGCAACAATTTGCCACACAATGTGTCAAACTTTAAATTCAGTTTATACGCCAGCATTCGTAATGCCATAAAATGAACTAGCTCTTAACTTCATAAACCATGCTGGATAGTAATGTGGAGAGTTTTTGTAATTCCAAAGCGATTTATGACATTAAATGATGATTGCTTTTAGCTCTCTGGCGACTACTTGCTGCCAGCAACCGAGCGAACATTGCATTATGAGTTTTCTAGTGGCTTGAGAAGGCGCTGAAAAAAATATAAGAATGTATGAAAGCATATATTTATATATATTGTATATATGTGCGTGTGTTTTTGTGGATTTCCGCTTGAATATAATACACACATTGACATGCGCTGGCGTGGCGTGGCGTTGCATTGACAACGCGCTAAGTGGAAGTCAAACATGAAGACAAACAAACACACGCCCACTGCGCATGCATATGAATGTATGTGTGCGTAAGTGTGTGCTGGTGCATTTACCAATTGCTGTAACGCGCGTCACATGTGCGCCGCTGCTGCTTCGGCTTCCTTTTCAGCATTTTTTTTTTTTTTGCTGCTTCAAATTCCCAATCTGTCATTGACAGCGCAAGCAACACCAACGCCAACAGCAAACAGTTAGACATCGGTGTGTGTGTGTGTAGCGCGCACTGTTGCATAGAGGTTTGTATTTTTTTTTTGCGCTTGCTTCTTCTTTGCAATACTTCACTGCATAGCTGCGGGCCAAAAGCTGAGAGTTGGAGCGAAGAAATGTGCAAAGGACAGCATTTAGGCGAATGTGGCAACGCACCTCGGTCCTGAAAATTTCAAATGTGAAGGAAAAATGTTCGGCTTATACACACGCGAGGGCGCACGAACATACATGCTACGTACACAACTCGTCGCAATGACTAATTCGCACTGGAGAGTTGTACTATTTTTGTGTGGAAAGTTACGGTTTTTTAACTGCTATAAAGAGTGTGGCAAGCGATTCGTTGAAAAACTCTTCTAGCAAACCGGGAAACGAATTCAAAACTGTGTTGGAATATGATAAATCAATATGAGCGTAAAAAACGACTACTTGCTTTTCGTAAAGCAGATTATATATGCATATATGACGGCAAGTGCTTGTAAAAAGAAGCTTCTCATAAAAAATTATTCAAATAAAACTCACGAGCTTCATAATATTTAAAGAAAATACTCATATGTTAAGATAAGCTCATATGAAATATTACTATAGATGAATAATTTAGCCAAAGCACTTCAAGCACTTGTATGCAAAATTTTTCTTTTTCACAAAAAATGAAAAATGTGTGGCAATGTTGGGTATTATAAGTTATAAAGTAAGTATAGGTTTATCTCGTAAGCTGAAAAATTTTAAATAATGGCAGGAATAAAAAAAAATTGGCAATGCTAAAATTTTATATAAAATAAATTGTATAATTGGCAACCCCTTGTCTATGCAAACTAATTATTGCTATTTAGATCAAGTTTCCCAAAAGTTTCTCGTTTTCCCTTTAAGAATTCTCAGTTAAACTTAGTTGCGATTATAAAAGTAGCATGCAATAATTTTAAGTATGTTTTTCCTTTATTTTCGGAGTTCAAACATTTAAAAACAAATATGTTATTAACAATTTTCGATTGGTGTTTACCGTAATTTCAGTTATTTGACTAAATTTAACTTTGCATACCTATGCGTAATTCCTTATTTATTTTAATGCCATTAACTTTTCTTCTTCTATATCTTTTCAAATTTTAATGAGCGCCATTTGGTTCAAATACGAAATCTACTAAGTAAGCAAACTAAAAAATGTTTACTCATAGCAACTACGAATTCCGAACACTTTGAATAGCTTCGGAGGAACTTGCATCTAAATACATTTAAGTTTGCATCCAGAAAATGTTCGATTCCTCATTTTTCAGTAGCTTTATCAAGTCTTTTGAAAACTCTTTAAGTGTACGTCTTAAACTAGTGCAATTTATTTAGAATTCAAACTAGAATAGCTATTCTTTTCTACTTTCTTCTTCTGCATCTAAAGCGATTTCCAGAAACGTTATCACAGATGGCAAATTTGTTCTTCGAAAATTTATATCCAACATTTCCTCAAAATCCACAACAAACCTGGGATTATACTAATGTCATGCAGTTGTCATTACAGAATTCTAGGAATGAAATCACAAACTTTGAATTCACGGAAAACGATTTAAGAACATCGTTCGTTTTCAAATTCACTTCGTTATCAATTTACTAGCTGGTATTGAGAACCGAGAGGAGTGTTAAATAATTCCATTACAAATCCCAAGCTAATGGCAATACCTGCATAATTCCACCTAAAAACGCCTTAACTTATGTTTATTAAAACCACACATTTATAACGTTCCAAGAATCATTTGTTGCATGCAACATCACGGCACTTAAAATCTGTTCACTCATACGAACGTACTGCATAGTATCTAACTGTATGTGTGAGCGGCTTAGAGCAGCTCTGACGAGATGCGTAGCAAATTATTATAACTTTTTCTTGTGTTATAAAGCAGATAAAAAATACTGTTGAATGCAAAATATGTATTGGAAGTAATGGAAGTGGTAATGTGTACAGTTATCTATCTGTTTTAAATTTTAAGCAAGGTAATGTGTTAGTGTAGCAAGTTAAGGATTAATGGTACTTAGAACATAATCTAAAGATTATGAACTATCCTAGACATTACCGGACTCGCAAACTTGTAAACTTTTTCGAGGGAAGTAATTGCCATAACTAAGCTGAAAATAAAAATACAAAAGTGCAAGTTGGTATAAGAAATTACATTAAAGAAAGCCAGCTTTGAAAGTCTCTAAAAAGTGGGCGTGGTTCCGCCCCCTGATAGGTTTAACGTAAATAAATATCTCCCAAACCATTTAAGCTATGTCACCTAAATTCACACAAGAGAAATACTTTTGACAACTCCTGCGACAGCGTTGGAATAGATGAAATCGTATTATAATCACGCCCACTCCCCATATAACGGTTATGTTGAAAACTATCAAAATTACGATAAATGAATAACTAAATCTATCAGAGACATTAAATGTTATACCCAAGATGGTACAGGGCATTATAGGAGCCGGTGTCAAATTTGTACGATTGGCCTGGCACCGCCCACATTTAGGTGAAAACCCATATCTCGGGAACTATGTGACCGATTTCAACCCAATTCGGTCCGTAATATTATCCTGACATTCCTACAACCACGCCTACTTCCCATATAACATAACTTTAAATGCCATATACTTTTTTCACTTTCCACACAAATCAAGCACCAATGAATATATCGGAATACAACTTTGCACAAATTGTGTATTAAATGTTTGCATTCTCAAGTTTAAAAATTGTCAAAATCGGAACATTACTGTTCAGTCAGTTCAATCGGGACAATACTTCCCCTAGCCTCCATATACCTAATATAATGATTTGCGAACTTCCGATTGACCAGATACCGCATATATCGGCCAATATGGGAGTTATCTTAATAAAGTTTAGAGAGCGTGTTTCTCTATTAACAGTGTATCTTTGTGCATAAAATCATGAAAAAACTTGCCCTAGCCTACATATAACTTCTATCAAGATTTTTAAGCATCCGGTGGTTTTCACACCTCATATATTAGTCAATATGTGGAGGTATATTATTTAAACTCAGAGAGTTTTTTCTGGTAATGATGTGTTGTGGTGCCAAAAATAGACA